GCGGAGCTTTGCTGTCGTGGCTCGCTGCAAAAGTTGAGCAATGTTCAACTTTTGAAACCTCGGCAGAAGCCAATCGAATCATATGCCAGTACAAGATCTAGCCAATCAAACCGCTGCTTGTGTGTCAGGGGCGGGAGATTCATGTGATTGGTTGTTGGTCGAGTTTCAGACAAGCCCACCGGCAAGCTTCAACGCACGCCGCTGTGTGGACGGGCCGTTATAGCTAAAGGGGTGTTTAGATGTTAGTCATTCATGCTTCATGTGAAAGGTCCATACAACAGAAAAAAACCTCGCCTCTTATGTCATTCTCACAAAAGGTTTGAAAGAGAAGCCTGGCTTGCTTTGGGCCAGACTTACATACTTCACACTGTATGCTAAATGCGCAGCATATTTTCTACGCTGTTCCTGCGTATACTGCCAAAGATAAATATAGCCATGATGTTAAAGGCATGCTGCTGTTCATTCTTTGTAAGTATTGGCATTACGAGGGAGCTGCTCGTTGGGGTGTGAGATGATGTTCTCGTTCTATAAGGTCATGAAAGATGTGTCACGCAATGGGACACTCATGGCATTTAAATCTTTTATATTTTTGGTAGGGCTTCCTTCATTATGTCAGACCTTAAGTCATCATGGCTTTGGTGAGTATAGTTTTGAATCCATTAATGGAGCTTTTGCACTTAGGAACATTTATTTCTGAGCTGCGCCTTCTTAAATGTGTTTCTATGTAGGGCCGTCAGGACTATCTTGACATCCTAAATTAGAGAGTTTACCTCTTTTATATTTTTTACCTTGTTTACTTTCTTATAGTTTCAACGCTTATTGGATGATTTATAATACTTTTTTCAATATACAAAGTAAGACAGTAGCACACTGGCAACAGGCAAATGGGTAAGGTTGCGTATATATGGCTTGGCGTGTTAGTCAGTTTTACTCACGGTTGATTGGTGTTGCACAATGTTTGGGCATACGCCAATTACACTTTGATTATGCCTTTGTTTAAATAAATAAAAACAATTTAGTATATTAGCGTGTTTCATTGGCAGAAAGACTAACAACAATGAGCCCCGCAGAGGAAAAGCTTGACCAGACATCCAACATTGGAGATCAAAGTAATCACTCTTTAGGTATTAAAGCGTCATTGACCAATAACTTTACCTGCATAATGCCCAATAGGAAAAAAATATCCTAAAATAATTCAATATATCAACTTGCTTACAGTATTGTGATATATTGAATTGTTAACCCTGAATTAAGGTTGCTCGATTATGGTAAAAATCATAATCAGGATTATTTTGGTCAATAATTGATATCACGATTATTATTATTATTGACTTTGAAAACTTCCATTTATTGAACTTTAACACCCCAAAACAAATAAATAACAAATAAAAATAATAATTTGAACAGTATCTTTTTAACTGTTGATTACCCTGAACATATAATTCAACTGAAAAACCAATACAAAAATAAATAAAATAAATGAACATTTACATAAATAATAAATACCAATAAACAAGATCAACACATATTTTGGAGCGCACTTCCACAAGCTACTAAACATATATTAATATGATAAATACAAATAAATTAGACCAAAATAAATTAGATCAAATATATTGCCGTCACAACCTAGCAAAGCAAAATAATCGCTTTTTTCGATTATGTTGTTTTCGTAATTGTGGCAGGCCAAAATCGCAATTGCGATGAAAATACGATTAATTGCACAGCCCTACCCTGAATCATAATACTCTTTGTCACAGGAGCCTGGACAATACACAACACTAGTTGCATTGAAGATGAGATTGTTCATTTTTCATTATTTTCTCCTCTCTGCTTTAGTTAGTCTTGAGGGAACGACAACATGTGAGATGATTGGCTTCGCTGCAGGTTCAGAAGGAGTTCAACTGTAACGTCAAAGATGCTTTCATGTAGGATGCTCTGTTTGTTTTTTGACATTGTTTGGGAATTTTGTGGAATTGGACAGTGAGCAGTGCTGATGGGTTGAAACTACTGAACATGTTTACTAGCTTTTAACATTCCATCAATATTGCAGGTATATGGCTGGTGGCTTGGAAGTATGCTATTTAAATCATACTTCATACATTCACGATGAAGACGTGTGTTTTAAAAAAATGATTGATTGGAATAAACACATAGATATGTGAATGTGACCACGTGAACAAGTAGTTTAGTCAAGCATCATCTTTCTGCATCATCAGCCTCATCTTAGTTTAGATCTCAACATCTTCTTCCTCCCTCCTTTTCTAATGCTAATCTCCTCATCGTCTCCCTCCCTCCCCCTCTTCTTCTTTTCTTTTCTCGCGTCTCTCTTCCTTTAATCTGCCCGTCCTCTACCACCTTCTTTTCCTTCTTCTTTTACTCTTTCTTCCTGCAGTTTGCTGCAGTGCATCAGTAGCAAGCACATTAACATCTCATCTCCATTACCCAGCAATGTCCTGCCCTCTCTCGCTTCCTTAATCCCTTCTTCTTTCTTGCTTTTACCTGCACCGTTTCCACCCATCTTCCCTTAATGTTCATTATATTTTCAGGATTTGCATATTTTTATAAAAGGACCACCTCACCTCCTCTCCTCTCCTCCCCTCTCCTCTCTCTGTGCTATGCTGTTTCAGGGGAGTGAATGCCCTTGGTTTGACCGTGAGAGAGATGGGCTAAAGCTCTGCAGTGGCAAGCCAGTGAGTGAGCAAATCGCTCTCACTTTGTATGTGTGCAAGTGTTTTTACCAATAGTAAGAGCTTGAGAGTGAATGTAGCACAGCCTGCAAGTGTGTCTCCTTAGCAGCACCAGTTGGTGTTATATGCGTAACGCAACTAAACCAGGCAGGTCTGGTTAAAATGCAGCCCAGACAGTGTGTCCTCTAAAGCTCAGCATTCCCAGAGCAGCCTGATTTCTCCTCTTTACTCCATCGCTCTTCATCACACGCTTCCTGGTCACCTAATCGGACTCTCTTCTCCTCCCTTGACGGGAGTTAGGAGCTAATCTTGCTTTTTACTGTTTTGTTGACTCTGTATTCTGTTGCTCACCAACAAAGCTTGGCCTTATTGAGTCTTTTTAAGGCCAGTGTAGACTGTATTTTGAAGTAATCGAGAATCAAATAGGCAGAATGCAGATAGATAAGGGATTTAAAAAAAAAGGGTGAAAATAGATTGTATATAGACGCTATATTACGACGTCGTCTTAAGCTGCAGCCTTAAACCAGGAGTAAGTATGCAAGACTCATCCTGAGAACCGCCATCTGAATAGAAATGGCTTAAAACTGAGTGATACTGTACATGTTATGACTTCAAAGGATTTGGTCTCTATCTGATTACTTCCTTGAGGGTGTCATTCAATATTAGTATCTCTCTTGATTTCGATTAGCATGTTACATTTGTTAGTATTTGATTCAACAAAATACACCTCTTTTTAAGAGAAAACATATCATGTGGTTCATTGTTGCAGACTGTAAAGTGATACTTGCCAGAGATAACTTTTTGTGAAACTAAATGATGTTTTTATTATTTCTAGCTTCACTGTTGTGTCTTCTTATGGATATCAAAGTATATTCACAACAAAATAGCAGGAATCAGCTGACAATCTTTTGGAAATATAACTTGTACAATAAAAGCAGGCTGATACCGACAGGCATGTTGAAATGTTTTTGATAATCCACCATAACAGCACCTTTCTCCATTGCTCATATGAATACATGTGACAGTATAAATGGCTTTTTAATCGTTTTGCCTTTTTTGAAGAAAAATGAAAATCACTCTAATGCAAGAGACTTATTCAGTAAAATACAATACAGATTGAAGATGTTTTGTTGGTAGTAACTTAATAGTCCAATTCCTTTTCTCCTTTTTTTCTTTTCAAGCACAGGTTGTAGGCTAAAAGTTGTGTGTGTGTGTGTGTGTGTGTGTGTGTGTGTGTGTGTGTGTGTGTGTGTGTGTGTGTGTGTGTGTGTGTGTGTGTGTGTGTGTGTGTGTGTGTGTGTGTGTGTGTGTGTGTNATGACTTGTTTATATACACATACTTATACTCAAATGATTAGTTCCCTACCTCACATTAAATCAGAGTCCAAGTCCTTGGTTGTTTATAGCATAAAGAACATCTGATTTAATGTGAGGTAGGGAACTAATCATTTGAGTATAAGTATGTGTATATAAACAAGTCATTTACAACAGCTGTAAGATGCTTGAAAATGCACCTTGAAAATCCTTGAAAAGTGCTTGAATTTGACTTTGGAAAAGGTGTAAGAACCTTGTAAATGTTGCTCACAAACTAGAAAGAGAGTCACGCTGGCTTTCAGTTTTCCAAATACAGTCATGTTATAAAAAGATTACCAACGTAAAAGCCTGTTGTGTATCTCGTATTCTGGTCAGATGCACTCACTCTTAACGTGGCACTTTATAACTTCGTAGAGTTTAATTTCCTGCTCAGACACCAGGGCTTCCCTTTCAGAGCAGCCAGCTGTGTTCCCTGCCAAGCTGCAGGAGACAGGGGCCATGCTGTCTCATACCTCACACCCGTCCATTAAATCAGCTACTTGGGATGCATTAACTGTAACCAACTGCAAAAGGCAGCTACAGTCGATTGACCACGACAACTTAAACCTGTCTTTGCCTTTGTATGGCCGACTTATGTGTTGGATGTTTTTATTCTGAGCGATTATTAGCTAGTGTTCTCCCTATATGTTGAAAAATGTGTTTGCTCAGGGTTGAGTTCTTCTTTCTCATTAGAGTGATTCGTCCCAGGCTGTCAGTACCTGGGGCTGAGTTTAAGATAATGTTGATGGGAAGGACTCCCTGCAGCTGGCACGACACTTTGACAGTCAGTCAACTTGCAACCGGCAAAGAATATTGCAGTTTGGGATCAACGTGCAGGAAGTTCTGATGGACGAAAAAGCTGTGCTACAATGCTGACCTTTTATCTTAATGATCTGATAAACATTTGAAACGAATGAAAAAATGAATTTTCCTTTTCGCTCCTTCTCTTCCCGAACAGAGAAACCATCAGACCAAAAGGGATCTTTAGAAAGGGACAAAGGGTCTTCTAACAGTGGCACGCCGAAGTCCAGAGCATATTCCAACCAAGAGAGGTAAGGCCTTTTTATTTATTCACATGTGAGAGCGCTCAAGACAACATTTCTTTACACAACTATCTTTTTTTACATTAAGGTTGAAAGACCTTAATTATTATCCCCTCCATATTTACCTTTGTTCGCTACCACTGACTTTCTCTATACATCCATGGCCATTTCCCTGCTGGGATAGTCTTTAAAGCCTCTTTCAAAACGTCTTTTCATTAACGCTCCCCGGAGTCCTGTCTGTCAGTGCTTCTATTTGTTTACGTTTAATACAAGTACTTATAGAAACCCTTAATTTAAGGGGATCTCAGGCTGTGGCAGGCCTATACATCAGCAAACGTTAAACAAACGGTAATGTTCTTCTTTGGGTTCTTGTTTCCAATGTGTCAATTAAATATCTTTTGATTGACTCGTATGTTATTGGTATGACTTTGTTTTGATTCAGTGATAATGAAAGTATGTTGGATTTAGTTCTTGCATTTTTTGAATTTGTTGAACAAAAGTGTCACTTTGCCTTGAATTAAAATCTGTCCCAACATGTTTTGCCTATTTTTGTATATTTAAAACTAGTGGGGAAACCTACCAGTTCTGCTTGGCTGGCGTTTTTTGGTTTCTTTGAAGGTACTTCAAAAAGTACTTCATCTTAATTCAGTGTGAAGTGCCTCCATGTGTCCCATGTGTCCTGTTCTTTTAGACTGAGTGGGCCCCAGATCTCACATCCATATAAAGATATTGGTACATTTCCATAATCCAAAATGTTTGCCCAGATTCTAATAGAGAGGTTATGTTTTAAAACGTGTTTATTTTCTTTACATAATCCATGTTTACCTGTATAGCTGTCTTTCTTGGTACATGACCTCCTGCTGTAGATCCGTGAATTGGGGACAAACTCAAAACCATGCTCCATATCACAACTGGAGCTCAAACACTTCACCTTGTGCCTCTATAATATTACAAAAAAAAGCTTAAAAGTTTACTTTTGAAGATTATAAGCTTAAACTTATACTATGTTGTTAGTAAGTGAAGTATGAGTGTGTAAAAAAGCAGAATTATGTTGATTTGATCTCTTACCCCAACCAGTTTTAACACACACACTGCGTACTTGCCTGGCAGCAGCTGAAGATGAGTGTTTAATTTATTTAAAGTTGTCAAAGTGCAAATTTGCTCACTTCAGTACCTGGAAACTATTGCTGCCACTTTTAAGATGAATGCTTTTATATGCTTATGTAAGATGGATTTTAGTTGCAGCTTTTCGCTGGAAGATTACAGGGTTGGGTCACATTACATTTCTTCCTCACCCCTCAGCTTCATTCCACATTGGCAACATGGAAATAGAGCTTTACTTCATAGATTGAGTTCTTTTTATCACTGCGAGGCTCTACTGTACATCAGGCTGGTAGTCTGGAGCAGAGTGAAGTGCTTTCTGCTCTGTCATGATTTTATTTCCAGATTTTTAGGGAAGCTATTGCTTGATGCAGTAACGTTAGCATGTAACTGTTCACATTAGGGTACGTGAGATGACAGCAGCCTGATAATGTTTCTATCTTGGTCTGTCTCAGCTCCACACCTCACTGCTCTCTCTTCTCTCTCTTCTCTCTCTTCTCTCTCTTCTCTCTCTTCTCTCCTGGCATTCAGTCCGGGCCTCTCCAGTCGGGAGGACCGGGATGACCTGGTGCGCTCCTCCAGCCACACCACGTCCAACAAAGCAACGATACTCGCCATGCCGCAGTTCGGCCTGCGCGACAACCTCATCAAGTGTGAGCTGATGAAGAATGAGGACATTTACACTTACCTACAGAACTTCAGGTAATTTAACAACTTGTTTTGAATGTGTTGCATAAACATGCATGTGCTTGGTTCAGGCATGTGGGTGGAAAACGATGTGGTCTTTGTTCTTCTTACTTATTATAGAAATGAATATACTGTAGAAGCCTTGCCAATTGTATTAAGGGTTGTTTTTGTGTCTACATTATCAAGCGTAAAAAAAATAACAATGTCGATGTTTAGCTATGGTGTTGTTACTGCCTCCTGCTGGTAAAACAGGGCCTAATGTTTACTTGCACGCAATAATTTAGCAAAGAATAAACAACAATATAGATTTAATTGGAATGAAACAAGGAATCTTAGAGACGTTTTAAACTCTGTTATTATAACTCAATAGGGGGACACTGTATAAATGCTACTTAATGTAAAAGGTAAGAGCTGGGAATATCAAGGAGCCGTTTGCGTGGCGTTGGCAGCATGTCGGCTCAGTGGGTGATGCCCAGAAGTTTCCATGTTTTGTTCCAACGTTGCTTTCTGGGTGTAATTTGCATGCTGGGTACACGGTTCCCCTGGCTGCTTTGACTTCCTCCCACACACCAGACATGAAGCTCATGATAATTGTGGTCTTTAAATTGTATGAACCTGAACGTGCATGCGTAAGTGAGTGTGTTGCAACATCTCTAAGGTGCTTGTCGTGCTCCTGTCCCCGCATGACCCTTAAAGCAATACACAGAAGAAATGACGCATTATGTGCTGTTTGTGTTATAATCCTGAAAAGTGTTTTAATCGGAAAAAGCAAAGTTTCTGATTTGACATTGTACTGAATCACGTGCATTGCCTGCTTTCACCTTATATTGCAGTACATACTGAAAATACAAATATGTACGTCATGAAAACAGCACTCCCTAGACTATGATACAAAACATCTTCAGCATCTTTCAAGCTAAGGGAGGTGCCATTAGGGCAGAAAGGGTTTCACTGTGCCATGGTAGTCAGCACAAAACAAAGAGCTCTTGCGCAGCAGTATGAGCAGCAGCTGCCTGAACATCAGAGAAGAGGGCTATTGAATGCAAGAAGGCTGATCTTTAATGTACAGAATACATCTCAATGGGGAGGTAAATGAAAAGGTCACAATTTAGGTGCTTTTCCAAGTCCCTTTATGTTTAAGTGAGGCTGCTCAGAAGTCTCTCTTTGTTCTATACTGTTGCCTTGCAGTGTAGACAGCTCCTCTGTTAAGCTGTTTATTAGGTGTAAACGTCTGAAATCAAAAGTGTTTATAACCGCTACATTCAAAAGGGCTGTGAAAAGTAGTCCTAAATATGAGGATAGCAACACACATATCCATACAGTTTGTCCTGGAAGACAATCATAGTGTTGCGTTTGGTCGTACACAGGAAAAGGCTTAGATAGTTCTGGCAACATTTAAAAAGAAAACAGAGATCTTCAAACCCTAGTTCCTTGTAGAAGTTGGTCCGAATGTTCTTTCAGCACTCGTTTGAGAAAGTTACAGATATGGTTGCATCCAGCCATCAGACAGGGTTTTCGGAGCTATTCACTTATCCAACAAGCAGTTCTGACTGAGTAAACTTTGCTGAAACAGGTAGGCTCATTTATCCTTCATAAAGTATCATTTCTTGAGATGAGCGAGCAGTAAAGCACCAATGGGTCGAAACTGAGATTGAGGTAATTGTTTCTCTATTTAAATCTCCCCTGATGTAAAATAAACAACAGACAGGCTTTGCTAGAATCCGTAACCATCTGGAGATTCAACTCAAAATAGTGTGCAATCAAACTGTGGCTTTGTATTCAGGGTGTCTGCTGGATCTTAAAAAGTATTAAAAGTTGATAAATCAATTTAGCGAAAATGAAGACTATTAAAAAGTATTAAACGGCATTTTCCAAGGTATTACATTTTGTATCTTGTTTCCAATACGTATATAAATTGTCCAAAGAGGTTGTATTCTACAGTCTGCCTGAATGTAATCATGGCGTAGGTGTGTAGTGTGATTCTGTGTAGTTTATTTATGGCATCCCGTTGGATTTGACGTCACCTGAACAGGACATCGCACGCTCACTGCTTGATAGCGCGCGAAGGCCCGTTTACGCCGGTTGTTAAACAACATCGTTATGGGGAAATGCAAGTCTGCGTCCAAATGGTTGGAAGATAAGGAGGAAGGACAATCAATACTGTATATAGTCAATGTGAGGGAAAGTGTGTCGCCAAGGTAACCGGTTAGAACTCCAAGTGGCGATGAGGTCTTAAAATGTATGGAAAGGGTCTTAAAAAAAGGTCTTAAAAGGTATTAAATTTGACTTCAGGATTCCTGCATATACCCTGGTATACGTGTACTGGCGTTACTCGCCGTGCCTCTATTCAAAACACGTGTCTTACCCTTCCGACGCGTCCGGGTCCATCCGGTAGGTCAATGAAAATCGGCCCGGCCGAGTGCTACTAAAGAACAGCGCGACGAAAAATGTCGTGGGCGAAGGCTTCTACTCAGAAACATACATAAATAACAGTTTCGAAAAGCTACTAAGTAACGATACGCGCCCGTACAATTCCGAAGGTACCGTTATATTGTTTTTCACCCCAAAGACTTGCGACCTTAATGGATGGGTGGAATTTAAATTTCACCTGGATAGGTACGATCAATAAACTTATTTATCACATTCCTGGTATGGCATGATAATTCCCGTATTAAAATAGCAAAAAAAAAGTTTGATGGGTGTTGTCTCAGCTACGTAAAATAGTAACGAGTAAAAGCGAGTTAAAATTGTGACAAAACGTAGATTACCCTGACCTAAGACTACCTCTTGCTCGTGGTAGATGTCCGCGGAACGTATACATGATGTCGGCGAGAGTCGCGAAAGGTTGCCGGTTACAGGCACCGAACGAGAGGAGGACGTAACCACCTCACACCGGGTTATCGGCGATCGGGCGGTGAAGACACGCAAGTAATCTCACAAGTTTAGACCTAGTCAGACGATAGTCTAGGTAACGGTCCGGGGAAAAATTCTTAAAACATACCTCGCTTTTCTCCCCAACACCCAAAAGACTGTGTAACCACTCTCAATGGACCTTGAAGGCCCCCTGATAGTATAAAGTACAATCTTTTCTGCATGTTTGCGACGCGTAAAACGGTTCCCTACCGGGGGAAATTGAATACTCCGTTGTATGGAGTGGAAGATCTCCTCGGCTAGGTCGGGAAGGACATAAGAAAGACGATGGATTGGACTGAGTCCGCAAAATACTCAAGAATCATCGCAGAGACTTCAGTGTTTTCCAACATAGTTAACAAGGTATAAATTTAACTTAAAATTTTTTTTTGTGAATGAATGATTTATCGATTGAGTACAAATAAAAAAGATACATCGATCAAACGCAACATAACATATAAACACTTTAGAGGTCTAACTATAAAGGAAATACACCAATACGACCCATCGCTACGGATAACAATGTTCACCTGAGGTGTTCGTAAATTTGTGTGAAAATGTACTGATTTTCTTTTGTCACCGCAAGGGGTATTTCTGTGGTTATAAGAGAGATAAATCAAAACAACGTCTGGACAAGCGAGTGACCATCTTTTAAGTTGTGCTACCAAACAATGAACGACCAACCTTTACAACGAAGTCATTTATTGTTGGTGACAAAGAAACTTGTCGTCAAGTCACTGATTGTGTCTGTACCAGACTTACTACTGTGTTGTAACGATAACAACGTAGCTGAGTCAACAGGGAACTCAGAATTAGACAGCCTCTCCTCTTTAGTAATAAAAACTTAAAAATGGGAAGGAAACACAGTTAGTAGACTAGTTTACAATAATACAACGACGTTCATGGAATTTTCAAGAATTGTTTATTAGACTCCCCTTAAAGAACAACAAACAAAATTGGACACTGCGACAGTAGAAACATTTCGTGAAACTCGACGTACACAACGTACTTTTC